AAAATAAAGTTACATAGACCCGAATGGCCTCGGAAATACTATTCCTAGACTGCTACTTCATATTGGCCTCGACACCCTAAGGTGCTCATAGTTACAATTTGATCTTGCCCTGTGCATATGTTACTGAATACATTAAAGTAACACATAAATTTTGAGGCGATTATATGTATTCAGTTTTTAATATTCTCAATGGTCGAAACAGTGCTCATATGCTGGACTAAAAGTCAGCACTATGCAAAACAGCACCTAATAAGGTTCCATGCGCCTTGCTGGTCTGTCTTATAAACTTGCAGAATCAATGATTCTTAGTCGAAAACGCTAAAAAGTTACGTATTTTACCTGCTTATCATACCCAAATACAGTAAACTGCAGAAATTCTGTCCATCAAACTTAGAAGGGGTGATTTTTTAACAACATATTGTCAATTAGCAGTCCTTCATGCATCAAAAAGTGCCACCTGGTGCCACAATTAAGGCAGACCCAATGCCAACGAAACTCGCACCACATCAGGAGAGCAATGCAAAAACCATTGCCATTTCTTAAGTATAAGAGTCGACGACAAAATCGATCATCAGATCGCTAAAACCCCCCAGGTCCTTGTTAAGCTGCAATACTCAAGTTGGGATCACGGTGGCAGTTACATCAATACAAAAACTGAAGATCTACAGGGCAGCTTTCCCCTTATGCTCCTGTACGGACGAAAGCATGGAAAATAAACAAGAGATAAACAAAGTCCGCCTCACTTGCGTCTGTAGAAGGCGGAAAATTAAAATGTGGAAAAACGCCTCGAATACTGGGGTCTTGGAAGTGGCCAACCTCTTCATCATCTACGTCATACTGACGCTTGTGAATATTATACGGTTACCCCGCAGTAGGTGATGGACTTCGGCCCAAATGTTTGCATAATATTTTGGTCTGAGCCTGCGGACCCTCAACTATACTGATCTACTCCAAGATAAAAACTAACTTCTCAGAAAATTAAAATCTCCAAAGGGTTATACCTGTTCCCAACAGTTCGACAATGGCCACAACGTGTTTTAAAATGGGCTATAGGCCAGTGTAGCGACTTGCGCGTCAAGTAGATGGCAGCGGGAGTAGACCTGCGCTGTATCTTCCTGATCCTTCTTGATCATACACACATGCAAACGAAGGGTTTCAAAAGTCCACCGCACACTACGCATGTGATGCGCACGTATACGTCAAAGTCGATATGACGAATGAAACGTCACGAGAGAGCATGTGTGCAACTGACTCGCGTGAGAGGCGTGTCAGTTATTACAGGCTGGTACGCATGGAATAAGGCCCGGGCTACTTGGTACAGCTATGGATGAGTAATTTGCCTTTGTCTGTCACTGCACTCAAACACATTCCCATTTGGCCAGGCTATTGGTGCATGAGAGAGGCAAAAGAGTGTGAAAAAGATGCCAGGGAATTCTTAATTGAGACAATCTGCAGTATCGCCAGTCTGGCGTACTTTAATCTGTCTCGACGCACTATCGGTAGTTGCTTAGAACATTGTCAACTCTCGGGGCAGTCAGTATTGATTGGTCGACTTTTAGTGTGGCCACTACTGCATTCGCGAATACCCGAGGTCCGAGCCCCCATAAAGGAAGCCTAGTAGAGATTGACTTAGGAGCTGGCTCGTACGTGGCACACGTAGACAGGCGGTTATGTCTTCTCGATCCCCAAGCCCACGCTAACTCCCACCCGTCTTGACTTTGACTCGCAGCCGCAACACGGCGATAAGAGGGTGGGGTAGATTTCTTGTTAGTTCGCCTCACGGCAAAAAAATTTTCCGTGGGTTATTTTTGGGCCCATTTCGTGGGGCAGAGGCGAACTTCTTCAACGACGAGGAGTAAATTATCGCCAGCCCCCCGTTTTGTTCATTAAATCATTAGTAGCACGATAGAGCAATTTTGTTTTACAGTTAGCCAATAATGTTTTGCATATTTGAAACATTCTGAATGAGCAGGAGTTTTGGCAAAGCTGCATCTTTATATTATTGTTAAAAAACCGACGGACTAGATGGGTTTCGAGCCCACGACAACAGACGGAAGGCATGAGTATAGCCAAAGAAACCAGCTTAAGTATATAAGTCTGCCCAAACTGTCTATGCATTATGTGGGACTCGTAGTCTACTGGTAGAGTCTAGGCTGACTGCTTAGGAAATCCTGCTTGGGTCGGCATCTCACTATATCGGAATCGATAGTTGGCTAC